TAAGTTCATTCTTACTGATACTCCTAAAGAAGAAGACTACACCCATCCATTTCCCTGCTGAAGTAACTGCTGCTGTAATCACGTCTTCCATGACTTCTAAAAGATCAAAATGAGCCCTCATGGAATGTTGGGAAAGATGAACTACTGGGTGCATTTTACAAACAGAAATTCCAGCTACAATGGGATTTCCAAAAATTCACCTTTGAGAAACAAATGAACAAAACCAAAATCTGTTCTTTCCTTGAGAGCTCTTTGCCCATAATCAAGAAACTGCTAGGAAATAGACATGGAGACCAGTGAAGAGAAGACTAAGTCCAGGGCTCTCCGAGTTCAAGGCTGGGAAGGCTTTTGTGACCTTCTCACCCAAACCTGCCATGAGACCTGTTTCCAATTTCTACCCACCACTTGAATGGTGGCTCCCTGCTGCTGCTTTGTCTGCTCCTACATGGAGCTGTATTTACCTTTTAAGGCCAAACATCTGCTCCTCACTCTCATGGCACCCACTGCCTTTGTTTTTAAGAGTTACTCACATGCTTTATTGAAAGGTCGACTATAGGAGGAAGAAGCAGGACATCAGCTTTGGCTGGGTTATGTGGGTAAGAATATGAAATAATCTGCACAGGATATTTGCTCTTTAAAATTATACATGGCTTAAGCTTGACTTTAAGGTTAATATTTATTTTTGGAGATTCACCCTTTTCCAGATTCCATGACTAAAAGATTAAAACCTGGATGGAAGAGAAAAGGCCCCTATGGGATAGATTAAGGAGTGTCAGTACACTTAGAAAGAAAAGTACTGTAGAATGGGTGACACATGACCCAGGTAACTGAGATTCTGCAGCTGCTGATGGCACATGCCAGAACCAGCTCACCAGTATCTTCCAGTGACCAGTTACTTCCCTGTAACTCCACTGGGTGTGATGAGCAGCATGGCCAAGACCATCTATCACTCTGTAGGCTTTTTCATAGCCCCTCTGTTTCCTGGATGGATTATTTATGTAACATTATTCAGCATGGGAAAGGCCAGCTGTTAAAGTTTTAGAATCAGCAATAAGAACACATTTTTATTAGCTCTTTCATCTTGTCTACAGTGTTTTTCTTGGTTTAAATAATGATAGCAGCATGCGAGCTCCTCCACTGTAACTCTGTGTGCTTTTGGAGGGCAGAATGTTCTTTTCAGAGTTCTGGAGTTCCAGAAGGAGACATAGCACAATAGATATGAATTCAGCATGTGGGACTGCCTAATCACCAGGGAGGTTGTATTCACACACCTGCATGGGAGATGTAGTGCTAAAACAACAGATCTAGTTTGAGGTTGGTGATAGCCCAAGGGAGACAAGAGTTTAGTATTAGATTTGAGTTGAAAGTGGTGCTCTCAGTATTTTGTCATATGTCAACTTGGTTAAGCAATATGTTTCTACAATTGCCTTCCCTATAAAGCTCAGGCTAGCATAGACCACAACAAAGAGTGTGAAATGTGTTCAGCAAGATGAAGCAGTACATATATAATACCAGACACCTGCCAACAAACTCATTTGAGAGAGGAAACACATGAGCCTAAGAAGATTCTACCTTCCCTTTGGTAGGTAGAGTTTAGCCTGACTCATGGGAGAGATGGGGCCAGTGCTAAGATAAAGGGTGCTGGCTTCTTCTAAGAACAGCCATGGTAATAAGGTCACAATAAGAATGTAAACAGGTTGTAGACAGATGAATCTCCCCCACCTGCCTGTTCCCGAATAATCAGTCAGAGGCTTAATATTAATTATAAATGTTTGGCCTATGGCTCAGGCTTATTACTAGCTAGCTCTTACATCTTAAATTAACCCATTTCTATTAATCTATGTACCTCCACATGACCAGGGGCTTACCAATCCTTTCACAACTTGTTTCTTGGGCGGCTTGCTGGTGTCTATGGACCCTGCCCTTCATTTCCATCTTCAGTCTGAATTTACCACCTAACCTTATCCTGCCTTGCCATTGGCCAAAACAGCTTTATTTATCCACCAATGAGAGTAACACATATTCACAGCATGCCGAAAGACCATTACTATGTTAAAGTTAAAACCTTCCTTTTTGATTAGACAGAAAAGGGGAAGTGCTCTGGGATATCATTCTGTACACCATGAGGATGTGTTGCTCTCATTGGTTAATAAAGATGCTTTGCCAATGGCAAGGCAGAATAAGGTTAGGTAGTACATTCAAACTAAAGAGGAAGAAGGGTAGAGTCAGAAGATATGCCAGCCAGCCACCCAAGGAGCAACAAGATACCAGCAGACCTGTAAGGCCATGGCCACATGGCAACTTATAGATTAATAGGAATGGGTTCATTTAAGATGAAAGGGCTGGCTAACAAGAAGCCTGAGCCGTAGACCATATAGTTTGCAATTAATATAAGCCTCTGTGTGCTCACTTGGAGGAATATCTCCAACTACACAACAGGTTCAGTTCATCCTTAGATATTTATAGCTCAAATATTCGACACAGAAACCATACTATAGAAGCCCCTACAATTATGAAAGTTCAAATCCTTTGCATGTGTGAGCCAGCCTTTTCTAGGGTTCAAAGCCCTCTGATTCAGTCTTTTTTTCTTTTAATCTGACACACTGTTGATTGCATCACTCACTATGTTTAATTCTTTTTACTCATTTTCTATTTCTTCATTACCTTAATTGTTAAGGTCTTTCCTAGCTCTTTTGATTATACCATTCCTTTGGTCATGATCTTTGACTGTGAGAGGTCTTAGTGTACCCATCAAATCCTTCTGTGAGTAAGTAAATCATCTTTCAGGTCTCTCTGGTCTTCACTAGAGGTTGTGTATGCTTTGTGCCTCGCCTCCCTTTTTTGGTCTCAACTAAAACCTAGGTTCTTTTTGGGAGGATTTGCTTTTTTCTACATTGACTATTTTGACCTTAGCAGTGTCTGACATATTCAAGTCATCAAACACCAAGAGTTCACCTATGAATGGATAGGAAATATAGATGGTCCTAGCTGGTTGGTTAGCAATGAGGCATCAGTTTTCCTTCTCTGGAGGAGCTGAAGATTATCCTGGACTCCACTGTTATGTTTGTTCTCTGTGACAGGCCAACACAACTGCTTAGGGATTGAGGGATCATGTCAGTAGTATTCGGTCACACTTCTTTCTGTTACCTGCTGACATTAACTGAATGGACTACTAAGAAGATCCCTGCAATTGAAATAATGAAAAGAAAAAGAGTTCTCCAACTGCGTTTGTTTAGAACCATCACCACACTTCAGGTGTTGATTTATGTAGAGGCAAGAACAAGAGCCTTTTAAATAACCTGAATGTTTCCTCAACAAACCAACTTTTCAGAAAATTCACCCAGCTTTATTATTCTCTATTTGCCTGTATACAAGTTTAATTTCACATTATAAACTTCTTAACAACCTATTTTACAAGTCATCATTATTTTATCTTCCAAAACTGAAAAAATGATTTTTATCTAGTAATCAAAAGGAGAAATACTTTCTGACTATCCTTTAAGAATGCTGACATATTTTCAGGATTTTCCTACCTTTATAATTTCCATAGATCCAATCCTTCTATGCCAAAGTGGGCCCGCAGATCAGTTTTAGTATTTGGATATTGCAAAGGAATCTTTTTATAGTGCTGACCATCTTGAAATCCCTTATGCCTTAAACATGTATTTCTTTTAAACAGTTTAATCTTTGCACACTACTTTCTCAATATTTAGCCTAGGATGAGTAGTTTATCAAGTAGGTTGGAAGAGGTTGACAAAGCCCAGGTTTGAGCACTTAACAATCTCTACACATTTGTTTTAGTTCACTTACCTTGTCAAATAAAACCTGAAGAGTAGTATCTGGCTGTCACACTGCCCCACGGGTTCTCACCCCCCATATTATATGTGTATGTATAAGTATGTATAAATAACTCAACCGAACTTCCAATACTTTACTTTTTAAAATCCTATCCCCAATTTTGTTTTGGTGAAGGACATCTATGTAAACCCTCTGAATTAAAAAGATTTTCCTTTCCCATATGTGTTAGGTTTAATGGTCTATTACAATGCCATTTTGAGTTAAGAGAAATAAGGAACTTAGTAATTGTTTTTAAACCAACTGGAAGTCACGATGCACAGTAAGGTCCCACAACATACTAAGTGACTACAATACTGCTGTCACACTTGCTGTATATTTAGAATTTAAAGCCCAGTTAAAGCCAACATTGCTACTCTCTGGTTAGGAAAAACATCTTTTCAGGAACAGGTGGAAAAAAGCTTGCACATGTTGATTCAACCTGGGAAGGCTACAGTACGAAGAGCATGCTTTCTAAAGCAAAGAACATTCCTTTAGTTCTCAAAAAAACTGTGATAATTAGAGGTTTTGGACACAAGCTGATAGCTACTTGCCACAATATGCTATCTGTAGGCCCTCAGTTGAGATTAATTTGAAATTGTTAGTAATCAACAACTGCTATTTTCATAGAGAATTGGAATTCAACCACCTCTGTGACAATTCAAGACCAGATCCAAAACAAACCAGTCAATCACTGTTTTAGCTTTTGGGGATGCTTATTTCCTCACTGGTGGTAATACAGAAACTTTTGGAATTGGGGTCTGTTCTGAAGTAGGTCTCTAGAGGGCCACTGAAGGATAGAGCTTGGCCTGGTGTGTAGCTTCTGGCCTCATTCTCAGCTTCCTGCTCCACTGTGACTTTTTGAGCCTGTCATACATTCTTCCAGAAACTCCACTATGTCTAGAAGGGAAACAAGTACCTCACAAACTTTCCCTTTGCTTCTGTCTCCTGTCATGGTCACAGCAATACAGAAGTGATTTCTTCTGATACTCACGGTTTGTAAAGATACAGTGACGAGACTATGTGGGTAGTCTTAAACAAATCAATAAAATATCACCTCCAAACGTATCTTGCCATGTCCACACATTAATGTAGATAAGTACTCTAGTTATAATGGCCACCCTGTACGTTTTATACCCTGCTTTAAGAAAACAAAACTAGAAAGATTTTGACAATTCACTTTTTATTACATAGCAGACATATGAACTAACCAGAGTAGGGTGATTACCTCCACTTTTAAATACGATAGTTCTCTTTTCTCCAAAAGGTACTGGAATGGCATGTCAGTTTATTTCAGAATTAGTTTAGAGCAAAGGAGAAACAATATGAAGTTTTTTCTCAGAAGCTAGTCAGTTTCCGGTGAAGGTCACAGGGTCATTGCCAGCACCACTTTGAGAACATGTATTATTACTAGATGATACGAAAGTAAGAGAAGAGTGGCCCCTAAGTATTTTCAGATTGCAAAGATGGAGAAACTTCCCAAGGGCGTTTGTGAAGCTTAAGTTCTTGATAAGCGGGAATATTTTCTGTGCATCCAGGAAATGTAAACAGTGCACTTTGGTGTGGGTATTTGCTTTGTGGGAACTACTTTTAGCAGATGGTATACGGGATTTTAAAAGTTTCTGAAAACTGTCTTGACTGCCTAGTTGCCTTTGCAATGTTTAGAGAAATATCAAGAGAATATACTATTGAACTCCACTGTCAAACTTTTTGTTCATAGACCAAGGGAGATTTTATTATCCCCCTGAAGGATTTGTGAGGCAGGAGGGACAAGACACAACTTCAGTTTGAGGTAGGTAAAATACATGACTCTCCATATGACATCTGCCCACCTTATGGTTCACACCGTATTTCATCAGTGCCACAACACACTAAGGGACATATAATCCCTAACATCCAACTGTGGTTCTGCAAACCACTGCCAAGTTCAACTGATTCCATGCTCTTCTAGAAGCTCTACCTTCAATGAACCATTGCTCATTTTCTTCTAGAATCTTGGGATTATCTCAATAACAAGTGCTAGCATATTATACTTCATATACATTAGTCTCATCTTTAATGTACATTATGAATAAAGAGAAAGTACTCAGATTTTCTATTTTCAATGGTCACATACCATATCAAGTGTGTAAATGTTTCCTAAAACATATTATTTACAATTATTAAATATTTTTCACAAATAGTGGCAAAGATGTGTTGGACTCTGTAACTTGGAAAGGTTAATTCATGGAAATATGTGTCATCCTATAGTATGAGACTAATTTTATTATGAAGATGGAGAAATTTATAAATTTCATATTCTTACTAACCTCAGCAGGAAACAACTTGAATGGAATCATATAAGGTAGTTTCTGGTAAAGGTAGAAAAGATAGTAGCAAGACACTGGACTGGAGTTTAAAAGACGAATTTGACTTATATGTGGCCTTTGACTATCTTGCAAGACTACTTGGAAGTAAGACATGTCCTTGCCCTGTCAATGACACAGATGAAACTCATCAGGAACCAAACGCTAACACAGAACATATTGTGAGACATGGATTGAAGACTCAAGCCAGCTAGGTAACAGGGAGAACATGTGGAGCTTGCTGGCTCTGGGTCTCAACGGCCCCCTCCCGCTCCTGTAAACTGTCGTTAGCAGAGGCCAGCTGCCTGGTGTGCTTTACTACTTCTCCACATCCCACCACAGCACAGAGCTGAATATTCTGTGGGCTTCACAACCCCTACACCACCCTGTGGCTTGGAAAATAGGAGTCAGTGTTTACACATCGACAATGCTAATTGCTCTCTTTTATAAAATCTTGTAGCTTTGTATCTTTCCTACACTCCCAAGAGCTCATACTTTGAAAGAGCAGGATGGTAGGGTAGAAATAAGCTGCTATACACAGTTAACTGTTTTATATGTTACAAGAGACAGTGTAAGTTAACTATGTCTCTTCTCATTTCCACATACACTGTCTGAAATGTCAAATTCCACAGAACATCTTGGACTAGATCCTTTACTCTCTCCTTTTCATGAGATGTGTTCTAACTTAGGAAAAACGTTGACAACACTTCTGGAAAATTCAGTTGGCAGCAGAGATGCACAGCAGGTGGCCACCCGGAAACCAGACCTTGAAAGGTTACTGTGCACAAATATGTTGATGAGGGAGTCCTACTTCTGGGATGTCCTGAAAATCCTTGACCTAATATGAAGCCTAAGATGCAGTTCAGAGTAGAGTAATTACCATAATATGATTTCCTGTCCAAAGTAGAATACACGTTTTAACTCATTACTGACATTCTAAAGATCTTTTTGAAAACAGATAAGCCCAAGAAAACACAAAGTAAGCTTCCTCGATGTTACCCTAGACTGCAATCCATATAGCTTCAAGCAGTCTGTAAAAGCTGGTGGTCTAGCAAGCTTTGTGCCTGTTTGGGCTACAGAGTGATAGATACATGCTGCTTTAAAGAAGCCTTCAAGTTCAGCACTTTGTGTTTCTGTAGGAATTTCATTTCTAAGAAAAAGTTTCTCTTTTACTCTTAAAGGAGCAGCCAAAACCAGTATTTAAATGATAAATGTGTGTAGTAAGCGTTTTCAGGTAGATTTAACTCCTCTTAGCTTTGAAACAGCACTGGATTCCCAGCTGACCCTGATGAACTGGTGAACACCATCGTCTACGTGCCCTTTGATATGCACGCTTCATTGCCAGTCTTCTCACATCCATATTACAAACTGTCAAAGCTGAGCGATACTTAAGACCATAGTATCCAGACTGAGCAGGTATGAGATGTGTTTATCATCTACAAACGTCAGAAGTGATTCCAGTTTAAGATGACAGAAAAGAAACCAGATTTAAAGTGATGCACTAAAAACACAACAAACCCATCTTTGTGATAACTACAATGGTTGCTCTATTTGGAAGGCTTGACACTAAGAGAATGAAAACCACATGAATTATTAGTCTATCATTGTTCCACTGCTTTTTCCATTCTTAGAATGATCTTTTTCATAGGACGGCATCTATGTCTTTGACCACACTTGACCAGAAGCCTCACTCTTATGTTAAAGAAAATATTTTTACACCTGTAATAATTTGCCAAGAATAGAGGTACTCTGGTTAGCAATCAAAATGGTTTAAATATGAATGCAATCCATAGAACAGTAACAACAAAAATAGAACAATTTTTCTCAATAAAAATAGGCCAGTTGTTAGAAGGTCTCATTCTGTGAAGACATTTTCAGCCCTAGTGAAAGGAGCCTGTGGAATTCGCCAGCTCTGGGTTCTACTTCATACCCTCAAGAACCTTATGAAAAGTAGTCCCGACAACAGAATGACGTTTGCCAGAGTGTAATACTGGATGACAGAACTGAGGTTGATCGCTATAATCACATTTCCGTGTATTAAACTGTTACATCTTAATTATTTATATAGCTCATTGGTCCAAAAGCATAAAAATAGAGAACAGCATCTCAAAATTTATCTCATTTCATGTTCAGAGATAAAAGGGTTAACTATTCTTCCCGTTATTTTCTGGAGGCAAGTCCTTGTTTATAGAGTCTGATGGCAATCACACACTGGTAGTTTCCAAAGCTACTGTATGAAGAGGATGCTGAAGGCCATCACTATACAGCATACGGCAACATAGGGACTCTTGCGCTCACCTGTTGAAAAAAGGAAGACGTTCACCTTAGTTGAACGAATGACTAATATGGATATGATAAGGTTACTACTGAGAGATGAGAGAACAAGGAGCCAGAAGCAACATAAAACAAGCTCAATACAAACTGGTTAACAAGGTGTTAGAACTGCAGCCCAACACAAGGCAACAAAAACCAAAACCATTCTTATCATGTGCTGTGTCCATGTGCCTTCATGCCACATTGCATGGTGGAGGTTAGAGGACAACTTTGGAGTGGGCTCTTAACTTTCTTTCCAACTGTCTATGAATTCTGGATATTGAACTCGGGTTATCAGGCACGTGCTTCTTCATGTTGAGCCATCCTGCGGGCCCATCCCAAGATTTTATTTTGTTATTATTGTTTTTGTAACTCTGTGTAGTTTGCAGGTGTGAACTATGTAGATGACATCACATCTCAATGTAAAAAGGCTGGACATGGCTAACTGCCGAGCTATTTCCGAGACTTGTTCCTGAAAGTACCAAGGCTGTGCCCCTATAGAATGGAGTAGAGAGCCAAAGAAATGCTCTCCAGCAACTCAGAGCCAAAGGATAGTTAGCTCTCTTTCTGGGAACAAAACAAAACAAATCAACCAAACCAAAACCCAAAAAACACAAAAAGGAATTTCTATCTTAGGAATCTAATGCACAGCATTCAGCAATATCTTTTTTATATCATGGTACCAGTTCATGACATTTGTAGAGTTTAGAAGCCACTCATATGTGAAGACCAGCAAGATTGCCAACATTATCCCATTTAAAAAAAATAGGCATAAGCTCCCCCAAGGTGATGACTACTTCTGATAGATATGGTACCAAGTCTTTTACAGTCAAACATTGTTTATTCAAAATGTTTGGGATGAGAAGGTTTTTCCATTTGGGAGATTTTTGGAATAACTGACTACATTTCATTGATTGAGTATCCCTAAAAAGCTGGAAATTCTCTCACGTCTGAATATTTTGGGTGTCATTTCCACTCACAAAGTTTCCGAAATCTCAATATTTCAATAATTTAAAAGTAGATGTTAAACACAGTAACTTCTTGAATGAGTCAATTCCACATTCATTTAAGAGTGTCTGTATTTGAGACTTTCCTTCACCTGATCTACAGATCTGATCTGGCTTGTGAAAATGTCTTGGTAGCACACAGACCCTGTAAGGGGAAGTCACCTCACTTTAATTGTTGCTGCTCTTTTAGTAACTGTAAGCTGTGCTGATTCAGAGGACAGCAGGCATAAGAAAGAAAGCAGCAGTCACATGGAAGCATCCGGGTTCTTTGCAAGCTTAAGACACCGCTCTGACTAGCCTTACGGTCTTCCATGATGTGTAGACTTCAATGCCTTATGACTAGGTACCTTAGTTCACCTTAGATCCTCAATACCTGGCTCCCATGAATGCCAACCTTGACACCCTCATTTAACTAAAATTCTCAAGGTTACTGTAATGTTCAGAGCCTCTTCATTGAGCCCACACTGATATGTTAATATGTTTATGTCTATTCAAAGCCAAAGTCACAAAAATATCACATATAGTTTAAAAAGCAGACATTTAGCCAGGGTTTTTGCCTACAATCCCCTCTTCCAGGAAGATCACCCAATCAATGTGGTCCACAAATGTGTCCTCAAATCTAAACCAAACCAAACCAAAAAAATAAAACCCCAAATTAAACCGTACTAAAGCAAAACAAAACCCAGATTTGGTGTTCTCAAAGTTTTTGTTTTTGCTTTTTTTAAAATTACCTTTGCCCCCTCCCCCATCAACAGACATTTAATAACCTTCCTTCTATTACAGGAGGATCTATACTGAAAATGGGGTTTTTAGAGTAACATTAACTAAAAAAAAAAATTAAAACAACACACTGGTTTACAATGCTAATTCATTAGGGCTAAAGTCCCACAAAGCACCTCACTGATCCATAAACTTTAGGTAGATGTTATAAAAGCCTGTTATTCTTTTCAGGGCTGGTATGTTCATTGCTTAGCACAGTCATAGTAAACACCCAAAGGGAGCAATTATCCCTGTAGTGAATTTTCCATCTGCTCAGTATTAATTATTGAGGAAATTCTTTTCTTTCTCATCTCATGACTTAGAATGCTATAATTTACAGATGGGTTCCATTTTCATGTTTTTCATTTTCTTAAAAGAGATTGCCATGTGGTAGAGCTAAACATCTTTAGTTGAACTTGAGTAAGAACATTGCTTGTCAGGTTGTTGCTTTGTGCAATGAATTGGAAACAGTTGCTGTCATGTGATATCTAGTAGTATAAGATGATCTGACTGTTCTGTTAAAATCGCATCCTTTTTTGTGTAGATATAGTGTCAAGAATAGAGAGGAGCAGGTGCTTGAAAACGGTGTCTCAGCACCAGAGTTTTCAAGGCTAGTTTGCTAAAATAAAGCAAATGCTTTCATTCTTGTTAAGAAGAAACACTTTTAAGTGAGCCATTCAGAATGGGGGGGGGGCATATAAATAAATAAGCAAGCACAAAGAAAAGGAATTTATACCAAGGCAGAAGAACAGCATATTTGAGGAAATCATTAAGACAGATATATACTACATGTCTGAAGCTTTAAGCTACACCCCCTTCTAGTCATAATTATGAACAGAAAGGACACTTGGGTTGGCTATTAAACAGAATTGTCTATATGTTTAATTCCTACATAAAATGGACCTAAAATGCATCTTTATGTTTTCTTTTGGAGTTGGCAACTTTCTATGATGGAGATGAAAACTCAGCTCCTCAGTGCCAGATCTCTGGTGTCTCTCTTGCAGTTAGACTTAGGTTCTTAACTACCTTGTTCTTGGTAATACTTTTGGTTATATATACTTTACCAGGGTGACTTGACTCCTAGGCAGTTTGGTTTACTTATACTTAGCGATGAGCATTAGGCACTGAGGGTGGTGATCTGCTTCTCTTCTTGGTTCTTTTTGAAGTTTTCAAGATTTCTTCTGTTATTTTTGGGTTTGTAGCCATTATTTGTGACTCAGTGGCAGACAAGTCTCTATAAAAATCTCTGTAAATCTAGGTCAGGCCTTTCAAATGCTAGCATCACTATCATGTTGGACTGGATACTTTTATTGGGAATGGCCATATACACACTGAATGATATTTAGGGTACTCAGTAACCTAAACATATTCACTCTATGTCCCAGACTCTAGTTTTGACAATAAATTGTTCATGGTATGTCTAACTTCATGCCATGGAAATACAAAACTGTTATCTACAAAACTCATGCATAAAGAGTACAATAAAGAAACGCGGAAATCTCAAAAGTTTTTATTTTGGGGTGGGCGTGGGTTGAGACAGGGTTTCTCTGTGTAGTTTTGGTGCCTGTCCTGGATCTCACTCTGTAGACCAGGCTGGTCTTGAACTCACAGAGATCTGCCTGGCTCTGCCTCTCAAGTGCTGGGGTTAAAGGTGTGCGCCTGGCTAGAATCTCAAAAAGTTTCAAGTGACAGGGTTGGGCTGTAAGCTGAACACATATGCTAGAGTCCCAAATATTCCCTGAATAATAATCTCTTGTCTAGGCTACACATATTCTTTTGCTAATTTAAAGCCAATTATATTCCCCATGATAGAAAGATTCTCATGCTTATTTCCACAGGAAAGAAGAAAACATCACAAAGAACACAGAGGAATCAAAACTTCATGTTAAAAGCACACTTAATTGTCAGGGGGATAATACTTATTTCAAAGTGGCTTTGAATAAGGTATTTTTCTGTGAAATCCCTTGTTCTTATCAATTATCCAGAAGACATAGAAACTTAGGGATAATTTAGTATTAGACTGCTAATTTCTCTTAGGAACTTGCCTATCATCTAAAAGTCCAATGGAAGAAAACCTTTTCTAAAAATTAGTTCAATGATTAACAAACAATGTCTGAACACTGAAGACTAATTTATACCTCAACTGTGCTTAGGTATGTTACACTGGTTCCCAGGTCTTTAGAAAAACGTCTAAGTATTGTTCAGCTTGGTTTGTACTGTGAAACTCAACAACTTTGTTTCCTGTTACACACCATCTTCTAAGCTTTTTATGTCTCCAAGAAGCTGGAAACAGAAAACTGTAGATGTAACCAATCGTCTTTTTAAAATAAGAAACACAGAGCCAATGTAAAAGAGAAAGCCGAGAGGTCAGAGCTCAGAGATAAAATCTTACCTCCTGTAGTGCTCCTAGCTTCTCCGAGCGAGGGCTACTTCCTGTTTGTCTGTGTTTAAATAGTCTTTCTGTTCTGCCTTCTCATTGGTTGTAAACCCAACCACATGACTGCCTCATCACTGCCTGTAAGTACCGCCCTCCAGGTCTTAAAGGTGTATGTCTCCAATACTGGCTGTATCCCTGAACACACAGAAATCTACCTAGCTCTTCTAACCACCACGCTCTTGCTATGGCTCTAATAGCTCTGACCCCAGGGCAACTTTATTTATTAACATAAAATTAAAATCACATTTCAGTACAAATAAAATATCACCATAGAAAACAAAAAAACAAAACAAAACAGGAGACCCTAGGAACAAGGGATGGTTTCCCTCAGGAATGGGACTTGTATATCCTTAATCCTAACTCAAGGGTTAAGTTTGGGGCATGTGGTCTGTTGATAAACTAGCTAAAAAGACAGATGTATTTTTTACATTATGAAATTAACTGTGTTTTGACAGAAGAAAGTGGTTTCACAGAAATTAAAGGCTAATAAAATACATATATATATATATATATATATATATATATATATATATATATATCATGCAAATAATTCCAAGGAGGACAACAGATTTCATTTTCAGTCTAAGTACAAATGCTACAAAGTATTTTTTAATTAGACATGTTAAAAATGATATAACCAATTATTAAAAACTACTAGTACTTTTGAATTGCATTTCATTTATTTACTGATCATTGAATTTATGTGAACAGTGTCAAGTGTGAGGACAAAAATAAGACATTAACCCAACGTATCACAGGCATACTTAAAATGTAAATAATCTTACTATTTCTATTAGATGTGAAGCTCACCCTTAGTTATCCAAACAGTATCATAAGGGTAAAGGACCCTGCTACCAAGCCTGCCTCTGCAGGAACCACGTGTGGGAAGGAGTAAAGTAGCCACTACAAGCTGTGCTCTGAACTTCACATGTACAGTGCGACATGTGCACCCTCACCCTTATACAAATATATATATATATATATAAAAACGCCCCAAAACCTTAAAAAAATGTAACAAAAGCTTTAAAATTCTGATTTATAAATTATTAAAATAGCATACATGATCCAAAAGAGCATGGTATAAACATGAAACATGTACTAACAATACTGTCTAAATTTGCTGCAAGTCCAGAGACATGTGGGATCTGATACTTGATTTCAATATGTTAATTCATTAAACTTCAAGTTCCTTATCACTTTCAGAAGCAGAAAAGTTATATTAATTAAGTAGTAATTTTGAGAAAATGGAATATAGTACTAGAAGATTTATTTCTTACAGAATATAGCTCCGTGTTTTATTATTTTTCCAACCTCCTGTTAATAAAACATTGCAAAGTCTCCCATTACATCTACTTTTAAATAGCAGAAAGAAAACTGATTGGGAGAATTCTGTAAATTCTTGCAAAAAGTGTACAGAGGATTGAGAAGCCTAAAACTGACATCTGATTGCCATGCATATAATATAACTAAAGTGGCCAATAATTTACAGCTGAAGAAATGAATGGAGATTAGACACTTACCAATTCGGGCACACTTCCAAAATATTCCCAATAGTCTACACAGGATAAAAAAGAACAAAACGTTTCCTGATTACTGGGAAAGCCAGTTCATTCCTGACAACATCACAAAGAACAATAATTCTATATACTGGATTTTAACATCTGCTTGTTGGACATGGAGTCATCATTTATATATGAAAATAGGACAGGATACACCACAAACTACCATTGGACAGAAGTTACTATTAACTGGACTTTATGTGTGTCACAGGTCAGAACTAGGGTAAGTTAATGTAAAAGTGGTGAAATTTATGCAAGAACTCACTGAATTAATTCAATTAACTTCAAGTTCCTCATCACTTTCAAAAGTAGAAAAAATTACTTGTTAATTTAAGTAGTAATTCTGAGAAAATGACACATGAAGATAGTTTTTAGATGTGTTTTTTGTAATATACTAGAAGATTTATTTCATTAATCTATAATTGTATACTCTTAATGCAGTCCTTTCCTGTGCTTTTCAACAAGGAAATTAACATAAATGTGTGGTTACATTTTTAATATAATGAAAATTATTAGTTTAGGTGGAAGTAAGCATGATTTTATTAAGTGTGACATTTAAAATATATATTCTAGGAATAACAATTAAAACAAAGATGTTCTTTTTAATTCCATGAATAAAACAATTATGAATTAAATATACACACATAAAGGACATCACTTATTTGGAATACATAAAAAACAACAGCTTTGGCAAAAGCAAATGAGCCATCAACAGAGAAATTTCAAAAAACAGTACAGCTACCATTTTGCTGGTTTGAGAATAATATTACACATACCTGTAATTATATTTATCTATTTTTATAATTATGTTTATAAATGGTGTACTAATTAAGACAAATTAACCTTACTTATTCCTTATATGAAGACTGGATCAATAAAATCATAGAACTTATATTTCAGGGATATTTCTATACTTTTTCCTTCAAAGAAAGATGGTCAATGAATCATCCCATGTAAACAGCAAGCTAACAGCCAAATACAAGTCTGAAAATAATCTAAGCTACTGCCAAGGCCAGACTGTGTTGTAACTCAGCCCTACTTATTGCTGTGGGGCTGTGAGGATGCTCTTTATCTCTTTACTAACAATCTCCATGCCCGCAGCACTTTGTGAGGAGTAAATGATTATATAGAGTCCGTGTTCAGGAATGTCAGGACTAAAGGATCATGGGACAGAACTCTAGGTACTACTCAGAAATGGCTTATTCTTTACCGAAGAGTAGAAAACTGAGGTCACCCATGCAAAGCCATGTGTGTTGATTCTAGGCACCTATGGGTCACAATAAACACTAAGGATCTGAAGCTACTCTGGTTGAATGAGTTGAAGGACACAGCGAGGTATCTGAAGCACCTTCATGGGAAACTCAGGACCCTGAACAGTTTGAAATCACTGACCACAAAAAGCAGGTCTTTCCAGGCCTGATATTCTAGAAACAAGGAGCATTTTTGAATCCTAACTTGGACTTAGTTCAGACCTATAAAGCATAAGTGAGTTGCTTCAGTGAGTTTCCTAAGATATGCATCTGTAACATCTAGCATGCTGTTTATTTTATTTTTTTTAAAGGAATTTTTTGTTGCTAAAAAGCACTCCAATCAGTTGCTTAATTTCTATGGCTTGAATGTATCTGCATCTGCTGATAATGCTGTTAGGGTTAGGAGAGTGGGAGGAAACTAGCTAAGAAGCAGTCTTTCAGTGCAGCCCTGTTCTAGACCATTTGAATCAGCTTTTAGAAAATGGAGTTAAATTTAAATAGTGAAGTCACCAAAAATGCATCACATCAGATATCTAGGTAACTCCACCTAAGCATGGTAAATACAATGACAAATGTATTGTGAGTCTCAGAGAAAACAAGTAAAGGAAAGAGAATCTAGTAATTACCTTTACAGTAAAGTAGTTCTGATCTATAAGTAAAATTGTTTCTAATCACTTTAGCTTATACTTTAAAATGTATAAACAGGAAAGCCTTTTGGGGGCCTTTAATGTAGGAGAAATATACTACTACTCAACCTGGACTGTAAGGTTGGTAGCCCTGATAACTCCTTGATCAATGTAGCATGTTATGGATACATTCCTACTCCCAAAGAAAAGAGGGGCAGATATGTCCACATGCAACTTCCCTTTGAATGAAAAATTTCATGACAGCACTAGAAAAGATAAATACTTGATTGGAATTTGAATAGTGACTACTTCATAAGAACTCCTATTTTCCTAGATCTTACTAATTATATTAGAATTCCAAATAACTGATTAACAGAATAAAACGCTAGGAACTCAGAGAAGAGGGTGGAACGGGGAAAATCATGTTTACCAAGTTAATGGGGCATTGTGATGACAACTGATAGATACTTAACATGTTTCATCTTTAGTTAGATAAATCTCTGGTCTGCTTTTATTCAGTAGGTGAAATATCAAGTCACACTGGGTCATTTTTGAAATTTACTTATTAATTTAGTAAGGTACCGCAAATATATTTCAGAGCTTTAAAACATGAAGAAAATGTAAAAAGTTACTCAAAACTAAGTTATAAATAGAATTAAACTGTCTAATGACTTTCATGGTAATTTACATCTGATGTTGGTGAGAACTGACTTGACTGATATCATTAGTAACATACCCAGTTTTATTTCTGTCCAGGAGGCTGGGTGCCAAGGATCGGATATAAGCACACGTACATATAAGCAGCAAGATTACAGTCAACAGACTCTGAAAATTGAAAATGGCAGACTATAAAGAGAGAGAGAGAAAAAAACCAAATTAATATCACAAGAGAAAACTTTGTATCCAAAAAATGCCAGACAATTCCACATTACAGGCAAACAAGATGTTGTACAACATGAAAACCAGCACCATGAAGTCTTTCAAGATATTCTTTTCTTGCATTCTTTACGGTAAAGAATGCAGGAGATGCAGTAGAAAATGTCAATTCATGAACGTGAATGTCATGGATTCAAAACGTCTGAGCACAGTAGACTCAGTATATAATTAACACAGATGTTCAAGGCATGCAGCGTACTAGACAGCAAACAGTGTGGTGTCCACATGCTGCCAGTGGCTGGCTCTGTGACTCCAGGGGATCATTGTGCTCTTAGTCTTCATTTGGAATTTACAAACCTGGGCAGAGCCAGGGAGAAAGATTAAATACTGACTAAAGTTTCTTTCAGCTCAACTTTTTGCCTGGGATAAGCATAAATTATGAAATCATGTTCCAAGCCTTGACAAATATTAAGATTATTAGACATTGGTGAAAGAAAAGCACCTGCCTTTCCTTTTCACCTATTTATAATTTCCTCTATTGTAAAGTTTTAATAGGAATCTTATTATATATTTAAACAGGCAAACAGGAAACCATATATTACAAGTGTAAATAAACTGGAGTTTGGCTCATTCTATCAATATTCAGGCTCTGTTGAGGAGCAACAAGTGCCCTAACTGCTGAGTCCTCTCTAGACTCTCAGCTCAGCTCTGTCAGGAAGTCTCCAGGAATCCAGCTGTCCTCTGTATTTCACACACAGTTCTTTTCATGGCCTAGGCCACTTCTGAACTGGAGATCCTCCTCCTTTGCCTCTCAAGTGCTGGGATTACAGGTGAACACCCATGCTCTTCCTTAGCAATCTCTTCTCTATCCCTCACTCACAAAGCAATTGGCACTTCCATTATACAAGTCACACCCAAAGTGCAAACACTGTCCTATCAGTCTGTCAATCGCTAACACCTGGCCACATGTCTGAAGCATAGTGCAAATCCAAAGAAAGATGTTTCACTCCTAACACTTCTGAGAAGTTGTAATAGCATCACAGTATATGATAAAAACTCTTCCATTATTAGGCTCTTCCATTAGTAGGCACATAAAATACAAGAATTCCACTCAGCAATTAACAGGATGCCTATTTAGTAAATTTAGAAGTAAAAATAGATTTCTTTTTTCTTTTTTTTTGTTTCTGAAGACAGGGTTTCTTTGTGTAAAAGCTCTAGCTATCCTGGAACTTGCTTTGTAGACCAGGCTGGCCTCAAGCTCCCAGAGAACCACTGGCCTTGCCTCCGAGTGCTGGGGGTTAAAGGCATGTGCCACCATGGCCTGGCTAGATTTCTTAAAAACCAGGAGGAATATGTCATAATTATTTTTCAAAGGTAAAATTGCTACTTGTAAATGAGCTTTACTTGAAAATCTCAGGAGCTAGTAAAAAATGCTATAAACATCAAGGGAATTAAGCAAGGTAAGAGGAGTACAAGACCAAATCGCACACATCAATAACCTTCGTAATTGTAATATTAACCAAATGAAAGATGAAATAGAAAAAAAAAAGACTATAAAGATAGGAACTAGAACAAAAGAAACATCTTAGAAGGAGGAGGAGGAAAGTACCCCCAAACCCCAACAATCACCTTAAAACACATAGAAGGCCACTGTGTAGAATTAGGATAGACCGAACGGAACGCTGTGAAGCTAACCTATAAAATGAACTTAATAACAACACATGACTTCTGAAACAGGCAGCTGATTCTCAAGGTTAAATGTGAAAAAATAAGCAACAGACAGGAGAATTTTAAGAAGCCCTGTCAGGAATTACTAAAATTATTTTTACATATTTTTATAATTAAAACATTACTGAAAAAATGTAAGGATCGCACATTACCAATAGCGTTTTGTGTGTGCAATTTCATGGATTTGTGCTTGCATGTGGAGACCAGAGGTTGAAGCTCAGCATCTTCCTGCCACCTTCTACCTTCGTTTTTAAGGCAGGATCTCTCATGAAACTTGAACTTTGTTAATTCAGCTAACCTGGCTGGACAGCAAGTTTCTCAGTCTCCTGTCTCTGTCTTCCCAGCCATCGGATTATTGGCCCACTTTTGAAAATGTAGGCACCGGGGGTTGAATTCAGGTTCTCACGCTTGCCCCTTAAGCAACCCACCTACTCAGCCATTTCCCTCGCCCCACTGACTAATATAATCAGTGACAAAAATGCTTATATACAAATTGTAGGGATTGGCAGACATGATACAAGATCTCAATGCTAGTATAGTTTTAGCCCTGTAAACATTGAGGCAAAGTGGGAGAATGAGGATGGCTGTGGATGGATTTTATTAGTGAGTGTTAGTTTTATGGTCTGAAAAGGATGAACAAAAACATTTGTAATCGCCATTTTAATGCTTGCTTTCCTATGTAAAAAATTTGTTCACGTACACAGCAAAGGTGATATTTAATATGTATTGGCTTTTAATTAAATTTGGTTTTAAGTTGGCATCTGTGAAAACAAGTGGTAACTGATAAAAAAGTAATAAATAGAAAACACTGCCAAAATGGTTGTCTTTCAAACATCATGTGACACATACACAAATACATTGATAATCTTTTCCCCTAGGCAAACAACAATATGCATATTTAGGATACACTCTGGGAAATGAAGTTGATACTGAGGATTTAAAGTTAGAGTGCATGAATCTATCCGTATTTTGGGCGTATTAACTAACAACTATTACTGACATTCATCTGGTATTCTTCTTTTTCAAAAAATAATTCATTTTATGTGCATTGGCATGAAGGTCTCAGATCCCTTGAACTGGAGTTACAGACAGGTGAGATGCCACGTGGGTGCTGGGAATTGAGCCCAGGTCCTCTGGAAGAGCAGCCAGTACTCTTAACCACTGAGCCATCTCTCCAGTGCCCATCTGGTATTCTTTTACACTGTCATCTTCATAGCCAACACAGTTATTATTATCTTTATGTTATAGATAACACACACACAGCAATTATCCAGTTAGAAAAGGTGGATACTTTCTAAACTAAACAGTAATATATTATAGCAACTGTAAGAGATTGCTTGGAACCCTGGGGATTAAGACAGGTTTTCAAAAGGAAACGCTTTAATAAGAAAGCAAATACATGACAATCCACAAATAATTTCATTTGGAAAGACCAAGAATATGGTAGGCTCCAGAAGAGACAACATGGCAGGCAGCATGTCTCTGTGTGGGGTGTGGAGGTCTGGCTAAGAAATTGTAGAAAAAATTAACAGACATATTTAAACAAAGGATTCCAGTGGTAAATGGCTAGTTTTACAATGCAGGTTTACTATGTTCCTAACAGGGTATCTAAATTGAGGATTTTTATCATGTATCCCCCCCTCCCACCAATGTCTTTAAAAATATGGTTAATGGTAAGACACCCAAGCTGGTCTCTCACTGATTGTGTGTGTAGGGGAAAGTAGAGTTGCCCATGAAATGCTGAGTATGCAAAAGCTCATCTTAGCCTTCTTTTTACCTTCCTGTGTTTGAAGGTTTTCATAATAAAAGATAAAACAACACTCACCATCATGCCTATTATTAAGTGGAATGTGTATATATACATTTGTGTGTGTACAATCATTTACAAATGAAAGCTGTTTACATGTACAAAATATATGATATATACAACTTCGCTCTGGGGTTTAAGAACTCTCTATTTTAAACAAATAATATTAAATGGTAAAGTCTTTCAGATGTACTTAGACTTAGGTCAAAAGACTGTTTTCTATGTTATGGACATCAGCCTGTCACCTGCAACATTTCTCCTAATGCTTAGCATCTGCTGTCTACTGATACAAACTTAGTCTCTGGGTTAAGAGAAACAGATGTCCTTATTTAGTAGAAAAATAAATGAGACTTTCCATATGAAAAGGTTAATAAGGGAAGAATAGAAGCTAAACAAAGAAAATACATGATAACAAAATAGAAAGTGGCAAATTTCATTAATGATAGGCATTACTGAGAAAAACTAATGTAGATTAGACCACTGAGGACACTATTTTGCTAATTATCCAGAAGTCCACAAAGTGTTGTGAATTTATATTTACTTGTCAAAGACAGTTTGGAGAAATAAGCAAAGACAAAATATCCTGATTATGTCAAAGGCCTAGGGTGTGATGGATCAATGTAATTTCTACCTAGTATTCACATCTATCACTACCTGCAACTCCAATGTTCTATCAGGAGCCTGACTTTGAGGGTGCTCATACCTTGAAGAGGTCGTATTGTTCTAACTCATTCTAAGACATACAATACATACATTTTCAAGAGGTTTGTACAGCTGAGTAAGTAAACTTGCTAACTGAAAACTCCAGATACTTAATTACTCTACAACTTAAAATGTTAGTTATAAGACATGTTAATTATCAAAAAGTCACAAATATATATGTTCTTGTGTGCTAGTTTGCTAATTACTGTTTTTGTTTTTTTTTTTTTTTTACCTTTTAAAATCCATGGGTAGTACATGTAAATTTAGATAGTTACAGGTATCAAAGTAAAATACAAAACCCTTCACAGGGTTCCGACCTCTTTTCTTTCCTAGAGCAATGGTTCTCAACTTTCCTAAGGCTGCGATACTTTAATACAGCTCCTCATGTTGTGGTGACCCCCCAACCATAAAATTATTTTCATTGCAACTTCATAACTATAATTTTGCTACTGTTATGAATCATAATGTAAATATCTGATATACAGGATATCTGATGTAATCCACAAAGGAGTTGTGACCCACAGGTTGAGAATCACTGCCCTAGAGTAACTAGAAGATGATCATTGTTATCTTTACACATAAAGAGACTCTAGCTTCTTTCCCACACATAAACATATATTTATGCAGATTTTGGTTTTAATGGGATGCTGCCACAAAAGACAACTTAGAATCAACATCTCCCATGTAAGCTGTTCATTCTTTTTAGCAGTTTAGGGTAGTGCCACCTTTCCTG